AAATGTTTTCTTAAATCCTTAACTCGCCTCCATTTAAGGCGAAACCATTTGTATATATGGCATTTTCATCAGAATTAGTATCACATACCTCAATACTGGTGGAAACTTCACGCACAATAGTGGTAGGAACAACAAAATCAAGATTTATTTCTTTTGAGATAAACCATGACATTAAAACTAATCTTAAATATTTAGAATATTTAGTAGGGTCTTTAAAAAAATGTAATTATTGGTCCCTATTTGACCATTATTTTTCATACATTTAAAGTAATCATATTTCAGACAAGAGATAGCACATACTATTATGGTAATAACTCCACAAATATTTCAACATGTCTGCATGGGATAATTTTCTTTGCAAAAAGAACTGCATTTTTTAACTCCATTCATATATGTCTTTGGATCGTGACAATAAGTGATATAAAAGCTTTCGTTTATGTGATACAATTTTTTGACTAATAATTTAACTTTAGTTAAAAAATCATCTGAAGCTGACCAACCTAAAAAATCTCCATAGTAAAAATTACATTTAATACTATCATAAACTGCAAGTGTCCAGTGGCAACCTGCATTTAAATCTGTACCAGAAAATATTTTCTCGTTGTTTCCTCCAACATTTATAATAAAGATCAGCTTTTCAGGGACAACAGTTATTCTTAATACATAATGCTCAATATTTCAAAAAAAGTTAAAATAAATTACCTTTGAATGATATTGGATAAAGTTTAAAATGCTAGATATTTGCAGCATATGATCTGATGAAATCCATCTAGCACAACATAACTCAGCTAAAGTATTAGGGCTCATCCCATATTCTAATATTTCATTGTTAGCTAGCCTTTTAAAAAGCACTTCTTTGAATTTTTCAATTAAGTTTTGAGAAGGAAAAATACCAATTGATTTTGGTACTAACTTGGGAAAATTAAACCATGTTAACTCTTGATCAACTGCTAGCTTCAATTCTTGAACCCTATGAAGAGCTATTAGAAGCTGAACACTTTCATACATGAACTTTCCTAGATTTCTTCGATATAATGGATTCCACTCGCAATATTATTACGCATAGATAGTTCAGTGGACCAATTCATTAACTGATGTTTAGGTGGTAAACTTTTAAGAGAAAATACATCATCAGTTATACCAACAGGAGACTGGTTTGTTTTGATAGAATAATCTTGAACAGATTTAATAAACTGTTTCTGTGACTTGTAAGCACTTTGTCGATTATAATTGTTGATCGTAAGGTGATTAAGCTTCAACTTGTTTGAAGACAAGATGCCTAAATAAAAGTTCTGTCTTTTAGAAGAAGAAAAATTGCATTATATTTAATGAAATAAAACTGTACTAAAACTCACCATCGTTATTGCGTATTAGAAACTAGAGACTAGTAGCGTGCTCTATTCCATATATATTGTACATATATTATATATATATATATATATATATATATATATATATATATATATATATATATATATATATATATATATATATATATATATATATATATATATATATATGTATATATATATATATATATATATATATATATATATATATATATATATATATATAAATATATATATATATATATATATATATATATATATATATAAATATATATATATATATATATATATATATATATATATATATATATATATATATATATATATATATATATATATATATATATATATTTATATATACTTATATATATATATATATATATATATATATATATATATATATATATATATATATATATATATATATATATATATATATATATATATATACATGATGCCTAAATAAAAGTTCTGTCTTTTAGAAGAAGAAAAATTGCATTATATTTAATGAAATAAAACTGTACTAAAACTCACCATCGTTATTGCGTATTAGAAACTAGAGACTAGTAGCGTGCTCTATCCCATATATATTGTACATATATTATATATATATATATATATATATATATATATATATATATATATATATATATATATATATATATACATATATATATATATATAATATATATATATATATATATGTATATATATATATATATATATATATATATATATATATATATATATATATATATATATATATATATATATATATATATATATATATATATATATATATATATATATATAAATATATATATATATATATATATATATATATTATATATATATATATATATATATATATATATATATATATATATATATATATATTTATATATACATATATATATATATATATATATATATATATATATATATATATATATATATATATATATATATATATATATATATATATATATATATATATATATGTATATATATATATATATGTTTATCCATGCAAAGGCATATTAAATACGGCAACGAGAAATAATTGTTTTCCGGACTAAGAAAAACAATCTTTTTTCGTCCAATCAAAATAGGGAGCCATTCCTGTATTTAACGATTAGTGATCGATTATGGAATTAGTAGTACCACGCTTTCTCCTTGACGACATAGTTTACGAAAAAAATAACGCTCGGCGCGTGGTTTGAAAAAACAGACACTAAGCTTCTATATATTTTTTATATTTTTAAATGCTTAACCGTTGTTAATCCTTGGTTGATTACACATGACTAGATTTTATGATTATTATTGTAGAAACAATATGGGCACGTAAAGTCAATAATATATTCGTATTAAGTACTTAAAAAAGTTGAATAAAGTCTCGGTCGACCGGACGGCTATTTTAAAATACCGTGTCTTTCTGACGCAATATACGATAAGAAAACAACAATTACTCATTAAACATCACTAAAAATAATAAACGCTGAAAGTTTTATATAAAATAGAAAATTTTTAACAACAGCAATAAACAGGTTCAAAATTAATATCAAAATAAATGCATCGACCAATAAAAATAGGTTAATCGTAAAGTCGACATCATTATTATCGACTTATGAAAACTGTCGACCTGGCGCATTAAAAAAAGCAAAGTTTTGTCGACCTTAGGTAGACCTAGTCTACCTAATATATATAGTTCTTTAGTTATAATGAATTTATTGATTTCAACTTCAAGTTCGAAAAAAATCAAACTCACGGTCATAAGCTCACAAAATAAACTTTTTGAAAAAATTTTTTTTTGCTGATTTGATGACCCTTTGTAGTCCATATTCGTTATTTCGATTTATGAATCTAAATAGATAAATATTATTATATCGTTTAAATATAAGTTATTATTTGATAACTATAACTAAATTGTTGAGTTTTTTAGCATAAAAATTGATAACTGATTTAATTATTTTTTTTTTTAACCATTTTAAAAATATTTTACATTCACGCATGCGTAAAAATAGCACACAGAGAATATAATATACCTCATTTTGATGCGAACGTCCAAAACACATCCGAGGACCTACTGTTTTGGACTTGGACGTCAATTGGACGTCCTTAGTCGTATTATAAATTCAAAATCATTTTGGACTTAGACAAATGTGGACCTAAACGGTACGTCCAATGGACGTCCAAGGGCGTCCTTTGCCCATTGGGCTGATTCATATTTCTCGCTTATAAACTCCGCCGTTTTCCTTAGTTCATTAGTTTCTTTTTTTAGTTTTGAATTTTCTTCTAGAAGATTTAATAGCTTAATTTCCATTTTGTTAACCTTCTCGTTAAATATTTTTAATAAAGTATATTCATGAATATCTAATAAGTCTTTAATTTGAGAAACGGTATATTTAGCCATTTTTAATTTAGTTTACAAAAGTACGCCCGTTCACGTCAAATGTTTTTGCGTTATGAGTATTACAATCACTGATGTCAAAATAATAACATTTTGAGGTGTGTATTACAGTACCATTAATTATTCAAGTGTTTATATTGTGTTATTACTATGCAGCGTCTTTGGATGCAAAAACAGTACAGTACCAAAAAACACGGATCATAATTCAAAAGAAAAGTTTTCATTTCACAGGTGAAATTTTTTGTATTTTATTAAGAATAAAGTCTCTAGAGGAGGTTTAGTTAAACCAAGCAAAAGTGTTGTTTGGTATGCAAAGAAACAGAAAGATGTTTCCAACGGTTTCTTGCATTAACAAATAGTAACTTGCCTAATGATATAGGAATAAAAAATGCAATTAAAAGTGCTGTTTTGAGATCAGTTGATTTATCAAAAGTATTCACAGAACTATTTCATCTTATGTTTGATTCGGCTTTAACTGATAATCATTTATTTTCACTGATTAAAATTTCAGAAAAATACACTTTTATCACCTATATATATATATATATATATATATATATATATATATATATATATATATACATATATATATATATATATATATATATATATATATATATATATATATATATATATATATTATATATATATATATATATATATATATATATATATATATATATATATATATATATATATATATATATATATATATATATATATATACACCTACTTTTATTTAAAAAAATTATATTAGTTATAAAAAAATTTTTTATTTGTGTTTAAAATTATATTTTTATCGATTACGCTTAAGGTTTTTTAATTTTTCATATGGTAAATTTAAATTTTAAGCAAAATACAATTCTTTACTACACTTTTATAGGAACCACCTTAGTGTGAAGTATATTCAACAAATCAATAAGGATTATCTCTGTTTTTAATTTATATAACAAGTAACTTACCATTTATGGTAAACATATTTATAAAATGTCAAACATACTTTGTTTTTTTTTTGACAAATGTAAAGGCCTAAATAAAAAAATTTTTATTCACAAATATTGTTTACTTAGATTATTCATACTTTTAAACAAATAAACGTCACAAATAAGCTCATGTGTTGAAAAAAGTATTTTATGTACTATACGACTAATAGAATCGCGTTTCTCATTTTGCGTGGTATATTTTTTTATATTTCAGGTAATTTTCAAAAAATACGTAATTTTTTTGTTAATAAATAAGTTTTAAGAATGGTTTTTAAATGTGTAATTAAATTTTTTCCTAACAAATAAGCTAATGTATTAAAAAATGTATTATATGTACTGTGTATGACTGATGGAATCGCGTTTCTCATTTTGCGTGGTTTATTTTTTTATATTTCAGGTAATTTTCAAACAATACGAAATATATTTTATTGAATTATTTTTAATATTAATTTTGTGCAAATATATGTGCAAATATAGTTTTTTTAATATTTGTAATATTATTTCTAATTGCAACTAGACTTTGGCTTGATTTTACTTAAACAAATGTAATTTTATGTTATTTATCAACTTCTTTAATAATGTTTCACCTTATGTTTGAACAATATTAACAATATTAATTATTAAATATTAAAGTCAATATTAACAATCATTCATTTTAATTAACGTTTTATTGCAAAGCATTGATCAACAGGTCTCAATTAAATTGAAATTTTATTGAAGCACTTGCTGTTTCTTAAATTTTAATATATACAAATATTATTAAAGCTTCTTGTTTTGTAACACACAGTAATAATACAATTATAATTTTACAGATTTAACATCAAATAAATCTATAAATTGATAAAATTTTGACTTCACTAAAATTTTACTTTTAAACATTTTTCTAAATATAATATCATAAAATAGAGCTAAAAGAATTTACTCAGCTTATCCTTATTACATACTTATTGTTTACGTCCTTGCAATATATACTTCATTTACTCGCACAAAAAGTCGTTTTTCATCATGCCTACCCAGAGCGACGAATCTTACAGATCTTAATAATATTTTCTAATAAGAGTCTTAGTAAGGTTAGTAAGACAAGAAAACTAGTAAGATCTTATTAAGATTTGAAAGTTTTCGTGCGAATTACTAATAAGATTTGTAGGGAATGAAAGATCTTATTAAGATTTGTAAGTTTTTGTGCGGTTTCTTATTTAGATTTGTAAGAAATGTAAGACCTTAATAAGATTAGTAAGATTTATTTAATTTTTAGTAAGATATCCAAGCTATAGTATGAATTATTAGTAAGATTTGTAAGATCTTGTAAGATTATTTTGTATTTTAATTCGATCCTACAAAGTTCCAAGCGTATTTTCTCGTAGAGAATGCTAATAAATAAAACAATTAAGAACTTTAATTAATTTTTTCTCGAAACAAATTCATAATTAATAATACAACAGTGCTTGTATTAATAGTTTAAATAATACTTATATTATATAATACATCAAAGTCACTTATGCAAGACTATTTCATACTGTATAGAAACTTTAAATGAGAAAATTGTATTTTAAAGTCTTAAAAAGAAAAAATATATGACAAACTATAATAATACTCATAAGAACTTTTAACTAAATTTTTTCAGGTGGTTACAAATCAAAATACAAATAACGAAAGTAAACTTTTTAATAGTGATAAAACAATGCAATATAAAATAGCGCACAGTTTAACTGTTCAAACATTTCTGTTTTAAATCAAGTTCTATCTCACTGATATCGTTTACAGCTGTGTCAACAGCTTGTTCACTAAAGCGTTTTACAATTGCATCTGACCACTAAAGCGTTTTACAATTGCGTTGTGTTTACATAAAATTGTTTAGGGTAACTTTTTTTGTTTTTATATCTTTGGATCGACTTAGTAAAACTTTAAACTTTCTGTACCAAGTGATTTTGTGCGAAATTAAAATTGTTTTATGACAACTCCTTACCAACAATGATGTAAGATCAACACCTTCCTGAATCTATTGTTTAAAGAAGAAAAATTATTATTATCTGATAATATGAATATGCTAATTTAATATTACTATTATTAGTCGAGTTACGTCATTTTCTAGGCTTTTCTATTTTAAAGTAGTTTCTAGGCTTTTCTATACGCGGTTTTTTTTTAATTTTATTTACTAATAACGCGTATTACGGGTTGCTTACTGCTAGTTATTTTTAATTAACTATTATCAATTTTAAAGTTAATTTAAAAAAATAAATAAAATAAGTTTTACTCAAGACATTACACAACACTATAACAACAATATAACAAATACCACTAAATATTGAGACTCTTTTGCATTGTTGAAGACATGAAAATAACAGTTTGACGAGTTTGTGCACCCAGTTGCACTAATATGTGTATATCCTTCCTTTTCATCGTGCACTGGTGTTTAACTTTACTACAAAAGAAAAAAGTATTATTCAGTTTAACGGTCGGACATCGGACAATGTCAGGCTAAAACTTCAGATAGTCCGCTCAATTTACAAAGTAATCGAACATTTTGACCGACAGGTATTAAAATCTACAAAATAAAGTTGGCATGCGATAGAATGCTGACCACGCAAATGATTTTTTTTGTTCGGCAATTCACCACAACTGTTAAGATGTTTTGATGATTTAAACGTTTCAGAAAAGACTAGAAAAAACTTATTAAACTATTAACTAGAAAAACAAAAAAAAAAACTACGAAACTGTAAACTAGAAAAAAAAAACTAAAGAATGAGCAAAACTATTCCTTACCAAAAAGAAAATAAATTAGCTTTAAAATAAAATTTAAAAAATACGAAATAGAAATAACTTTTAGTTACGTTTTTAATTACAATCGAAAAAATTACTTAAAAACTGATCTTTTAAAACGTTTAATTAACGCAAACTGCTTTTAATAAGTCAATTCTATCGATTGTTTAATAAATGAACAAATTTATTTATTATTGAAATTTTTTTTTTTAATATTTTTAGATTGTATAGACATCTTTTTCAAAAAGTTGCATACAAATTTGTTTAAAAAAATAACGTTGTCATTTTAATATTGTAATTTTTAATCATTTCACGATTTATATAGTGTATTTTTAATTTAATTACTAAGTCAAGTTTAAATGAAACAACTTTTAAACAATTCTTTGTAAAATTAGAAACAATAAAAACAATGCAATTAAATCATGGAAAGATTTAGGTTAACTTATTTAAAATTAACTTATTTATCGTAATTTAAAGTAACTTAAAAAATAGTTTTTTAAAATATTTATTTAACGACATAAAAAACAGTTCCAAACGTTTAAATTTATCATAAAAAATAAACACCTAATAAAAAAAAATTTAAACGCATCACTTAATTTACACATAAAGCGTTTTGTATATATATATATATATATATATATATATATATATATATATATATATATATATATATATATATATATATATATATATATATATATATATATATATATATATATGTATATATATATATATATATATATATATATATATATATATATATATATATATAAATATATATATATATATATATATATATATATATATATATATATATATATATATATATATATATATATAGCGTTTTGTATATATATATATATATATACAAAACGCTATATATATATATATATATATATATATATATATATATATATATACACACATATATATATATATATATATATATATATATATATATATATATATATATATATATATATATATATATATATATATATATATATATATATATATATATATATATATATATATATATATATATGAATATTATTTATGAAAGATTAGTCTAAACAACATCCACATTATTTTAAAATGAAAATTAAAATTATTTGAAATAATATAAATAAACAAAAAGGAAATAAATTATAACTTTATAAATAGAAAGATATATTATATATTTTTGCCGAACATAATAGTCATAATGCGCTGTTGAGCCTTTTTGACACGGTACCCTTGGCAGCCATTGCAACCGAAGTAATTGCGAGATAGAGTCTCAGCTCTATGTTTTATAAGAAACGTGAACGAACTTGTATCTAAATATCTAACGTACGTAAACTCTAAAATAAGTAATGTTAAACATTTATCAAGTTTTACAGTTTGATTTTCACTTGAAAACATCATTGCGTTAAGCTCTCCTTAATTTTGATCAATAAAATATTTTCCTTAAAAAATTCATTACATTATTTTAAAAATATTGTTTTCTAGGTTTCATTATTGTATGTGTAAAAAAAAGTACATTGTTTTCATCTAGGTTTCTAGGCGGAAACATATATGTACGTAATAAAATTTAGTTTTTAACATCCCAGAAGCTTATTTAAATAGAATGATCAAGAATAATAGCACTTTGTTTTATTCATATTTCATTCACAGTCATAGTTTTAGCAAATTTGAGTAAATATTTAAGGAAACTAACCGAAAATTTTGTTGCTTTAAAAATATATTGACACATGACTAACTTAAATTACACGGCCTGATTTGTTGTATTTTCCGTAAAAAAATAAAAGTTTTTTTACGGCTTGTGTATAAAAGCTTGAATTTTTGTTATGGATAAGAATCGAGTTAGCACTGTTTTGTTTTTATAAAACAAAAACTATAAAATGTTTTATTTAAATGAATAAACAATTTAAATAGAACATTTTATTGTTATATTTGAATTGTTAGATTTTCTTTGAGTGATTTCTTTGTGTTTTGCTGGATTTTTTTGCTAGCTAATTACCTGCCACAGCTTATTCCAATAACACGGAATACTGTACATTGACATGCTTTGATTTGAGGCTTTCAAATCAAAACAAATCAAATCAAATATATTTTTAAATAAGTTGTAAAATTTCAAGGAAATTTACAACAATATAAGACTATTATAAAGTAAATATCTGTTTGCACTATAAAGTAAATTCCTGGTTGTACTACATATTTTAGATAGCTGTATCAACATTTATCAACATGCTACTAAAAATAACTTGACATTTTGCTAAAACTGCATACAACTCTCCATTTTAAATAAGTTTTTATAAATAATAACAATTTAAAAATTTTTTGCATTTATAATAAATACAAAAATATTTTTATTTATTATAACTGCAATTATTAGGAGTAAAACATTTTTTTTAGAGCTATTAACACAGCAAAATCATGTTTTGCAATGTAAATACTATGCTGCATGTTTCAAACATGCAGCAATCGAAAATCAACAAACCAGGTCATTTATTTATAGAAGGCCAAGAATTATGAGGCATACCACTTGATTCTGAGTCAAATGGCTTTTAATAAAATTCTTAATCTTTCATTGTCTTTTAAAAGCTAACATGTTTCTTTCCCTATATAGTTTTGTAATTGCAAAACATGCAAATTAAA